CACACACACACACACACACACACACACACACACACACACACACACACACACACACGGAGCGATGTCCTCACGTTTCCCCTCTACTCTAAAGTGCACGTCCATTTCCTTCAAATTAAATGAGTTAAGAAAACAAGATTATACCTTCAGCCTGACATTTCTGACTTTGTGTGTTTTATACTCGGGTGTAGCTGAAAACCAGACACTCTGATTGGGCCTCTTCAACATTATCTGTTAATACAACTAATAAAGAGAAGAAACAAACGTGTCAATTTAAAATACAGTCGTTTTATGATTGCATTTTGTCTCTTTACGTAAACTATCATTGCAGTGTTCTCATTAAAGCACCTGTAATATACTGTTTGCACAACCATGTTATATTATCCACGTCCTTCAGCACAATAAAGAAATGTTTTTTTGATTTTTTTTATTGACTTCACAGCCCGTCTTGTGAGAATAATCACAACTATTAGATATTTCAACCTTTTAAAGTTTGTTTTATTTAAACTTTTAAGAACCAGTTGCCTGGAAAATGGATGTTTTGGCTTACAGGATCAAAACCTTCCTTTTTATATGAGTTTGTATTTTCTTATTGAGTAATTTTTTTCTTGTTGGCATAACAAACGTTAAAAAAAAGTCATAAGTTATAACAAAAAAAGGATGCGAATTCCTCTCAGTGTCTGGAAGTTGGCAAACAGAGTACGCTTTGTGCGTAATGTTTTTCTTTTCTTTTTTTATTATATGCAATCTAGAAAATACTAATAATCTCATTCTACGCTTTTATTTTGAAGCAGTTTCAGCTTCGAACGTCTCTTATTTTTTTCCAATTTCTGGGCTGTTTTTACTTTTACGGGCTTTAATATTAAATAAAGGCGATTATCCAGATAATGTTAGAGTGCTGTAAAGAGCAAAGGTATCTCACAGCTTCACTCTCTGACACTTTGAACACGCACGCCGACAGAGACACGCCCTGTTGGCGGTTCTGCTCGATGAGTGCTGGACTCCCTCGTCAGCATCCTTCCTCGCCTCCATATCTCCCCTGAACGCTGCCACTGCATCAGTGCTCAACAAATACATTAGGAACTGGGGATGAGACTTTTATGTGTAGGCCCGACCCTCGACTACCATTCACACACACACACACACACACACACACACACAC